GCTCAAATTCAGCCGGATCTATGTGGCAGAATCATTGAAAATTGGACCACTTGGATCCGTGCCACCGTGAGAAGCCGCGACGGACATTTGAACGATGTTATATTCCACACATAATGACATACATGGGCTTTTCAAATAAAAAAAGAATTTCGTTAATACCTCACACACAGCTTGTTTTATTCCATTGCAATATTGACCCGCCCTTATTGAAAAACCCTATACATGTTAGTTGTAATTTCCCACTCATAGAAAGTTGCAGTTATATAACAGAAATATCACATGTTACTAAAATGTTATATAGCTGTTATATAACTGTAATATTATTGTTATGTAAAAAATTTACTTCTAATTTTCTCGCATCTTGCGTCCCGTCGATAGCTTCGATTCCAAGCGGTCACCCCTCCTGTGCTGACCACGCTAGGCTTTGCTTTAACCTGACGATCAAGTGGCACGCAATTATCTTGTTACGTCCTAGAGGAGGAACGCAACCTTTTCGTTCGCGAGTAAGGCGAACCTCGTTCGTACACGCGTGTCAGTGAACGGGTCAGGGACCCGACGGGTCCCTTTACTCGGACATCGACGTACGACGAGCGGTCCGTTTTTCGGTCAAGGACGCGAGTCCCTTTACCGGGGATAGGACCATGAGTTGACTGTTGGAAGGTGGGGTGATTTTGAAATTAATTGGTGATAATAACTATTAACAGATTTATTAAAATAAAGATGACAAAATTATATAACGGCACGGTTTGAATTAACAAATTTATTAATAATAGGATATAACGGTGCGGATTGAATTTTTACAGGTTTATTAAGATGAATAGCGACCCAAAATGATGTAATTGAATGGTTTGAACATGACAATTATACTTAGATGAATGAGTGTATGTGTATGTGTATGAGTATATGAAATGAAAAAAGAAAGGGATGAGAAAGGGAACGAATATGAATAGGAAGTTCAAAGGGTGGAATAAATAAAATAGAAGTAGGAAGATAAAGTAAAGAAAATGAAACTTACTACTGATTCAGGATGAGTTGACACAAGCAGAAGTGAGAATGGCGCAGATCTGCGTAGGTGTTCCCGTTTCCAATATTCGTATTCCGATTGAGGCACCAAATAGTCGTTCGCTTATATAAAGAGGAAGCCCGCACTTTTTCCAAAATCCGAATGCTTGAATATTTGAATACTAAATATTTGAATGAACTGGAATTATGAAGATTTGAATCTGAGTCCTAATGCTCAAGATCTGAATATCCAAGTTCTGAATATCTGAGTTTTGAATATCTGCGTGAGAGTGCGAGTCTGAGCTTTTTCGTTTCCGTGTTCTTTTATCTCTCAGAGTAGTGTCGCGGAGGCGGATTACCGCGGTTTTTATATCAATGATCGGAGGCAGAAGCTATCAGGGTGGGTAGAGAGATGGCCCTTTTAGAGAGGGATGAAGCCCTAAGAAGAACCCAATGAAGTTAGAGATTTTGTTACTAATTTTTATTATTGGTCCTGGTTGACAGTAGTGGGAAAAAGTCTTAGCCATTAGCGAAGTTAAAAGACATCGTGGGAGGAGACAGTTTTTGGAGATATGAATATGGAAGGGCTGAAGGGTGGAGCGTGGGTATCTCATAGTTTTAGGTGGATATGATATGATTGGCTGAATGAATTAGGCGCGACAAGCGTGGAGGTGGTGGATTCTTGAGATAGAGAAATGTATACAAGCAGCCGGCTGGAAAAATCAAAATGCCGTAAATCAAAGCCTGAGATAAGAGTTTATAACCATCGGTGAAATAGGCTTTGTTGGTTAACTGATAGGGTACATATGGTTTTGGATTGGGAAGGTGTGAGTTTCAAGTTTTAGAGCAGGAATGCTCTGAGTTGCTTTGTTTTACTGAAGGTTTGTTAGTGCGGAGTTTCAAATTTTTATAGCTAGGACGACGGACACACTTGGCGAACACTACCCAGATATAAACTTTAAACGAAGACATAGATTTTTACAACAGGGCACTGTTTCCTGTTATGGAATTTTCCCGAATCGCCTTTCATTTGGCGCGACGGCTGTTCGCCAGATGGGTCTGTTCCCTAATTTATATTTATATATGTATATATTCTTATTATAGTTATATTAGGAGAATATAAATCCGCGAGAGGAAAGAATTTTTGCTAATTAAATCTACAGGACGTAACAATCTCCATGACTGCAACAACGCTCTTGCGACCTATATTTATATAATGTATCCTTATAGTATTCACAGAACATTCCCAACAAACACAGAATATAACTGTTATATAACATAGGAGTAACATGTAATATAACATATGTTATACTCTAGTTATATTGAGGTTATATAATTTGTTTTCATAGTTGTAATATAATTCTGTTATATATCTATTACACTGTTTTGTTATAAACTAGAGATAACATTATAATAATAATATAACAGTAATGTAATACGTAATATAACAATAATTACGTTCATATTACATTGATGTTATACAACACAACTATTCATGCAATCTATTAAAAGCTGCAAATGCTTTCTATTGCGAATAAAGATGCATTTCGATAGAGAAAGAAATAGCAACGCGGAACAGTAACAAATAAAAAATGGTGGAAAGCTAATCAATCAGAAATTCCGTTCCGCTTTTTTGGAGATGTTTTATTTTGTAGTTTATAGACTCGTCGCTGAAGGAATCTTGCAAATTTTACGGAAACATCGCGCCACTTGCGACCTTTGTCCATGCAGACAGTATTATTTGCCTACTGCCTTTTTTGGACATTTTGGACTTTCCGCTGTGTAGCGTGATGCTTAGCTTGCAACACGTGCGATGCAGGTGCGGCGGATGTGCTTCGCATAGCACTTTCGCCAATATATTAGGTGTACAAATGAATAATCCAAATTATTTTAAGCTGTTATGAAATCAATTTTAAATTGAATAGATTTTCCCGCTCTTTTGTGATTATGCAATGTTGACATATAGCTATTAAAAAGAACATATAGCTTGGCGAAAAGCCCAACATAACCTTCAAAAGTATTCAGTTCAGTACAGTCGAAAATGGCAACAGATAAAGTGCATATCCGACACTGCATTCTTTACGAATTCCAACAAGGAAAAAATGCTGCAAGAGCGTGCGAATCGATTTGTTCCTTTCTGTGAAGGTGAAGGTATTATATCGTACGATGTATGCGCATTTTGGTTTAAGCAGTTTAAAAGCGGTAATTTCAGTCTAATCGACAAACAACGCCCTGGAGGCCTTCCGAAGTGCGATAATGATGATTTGGAACAACTGCTCGCTGAGAATTCGGTACAAACACAAAAAGAGCTTGCAGAACAGTTGGGAGTAACGCAGCAAACGATTTCCAAACGCCTACATGAGATGGGAAAGACCCAGAAAGAAGGAAAATGGGTTCCGCATGAACTCACTGAATCCAACAAAAATCAACGAGGGGCAGCGTGTCTTTCTCTTCTCAATAAGCAGCGTTGAAAGTGTTTTTTGTGGAAAATCGTTACGAGCGATGAGAAATGGATACTCTATGACAATCCGAAACGCAGAAAGTCATGGGTAAATCCCGACGAATCATCAAAATCGGTCGTAAAACTCAATCGCTTCGGAAAGAAGGTTCTTCTCTGCATTTTGTGAGATATCAAGAGCGTGCTTTATTATGAGTTGTTGGAACCGGGTGAAACAGTTACTGCAGACTGCTACCAACGTCAATTAATCTGCTTGAGTCAAGAATTGGAACGAAAACGCCCGTATACTGGCAAAGGAGAACGTCCAGTGAAATTATTGCATGACAACGCCAGGCCACACATTGCTTCCAATACAAAAGACATCATAATGAGTCTTGGCTGGGACGTTTTGCAGCACCCGACGTATTCACCAGACATTGCTCCATCCGATCATCACTTGTTCCGGTCGATGCAACACGCCCTGTTCGATATGCACTTCCAATCAGTGGATGAGATCCGAAAATGGCTTGACGACTTTATCGTGTCCAAAGACGTAACATTTTTCCGAGATGGAATTCATCAGCTGCCTGAAATATGGCTTAAAGTTATAGAAAGCAACAGCGAATACTTTGATTGAACAATTTAATTTACTTTCTTTTAAAATAAACCTTGAATGTAGCTGAAAAAATTGGATTATTCATTTGTACATCTAATAATTAATGCATATTAATTATAGGTAATTCGTCATGCTCACTTAGGGCATGACAAACTAGATAAATGTTTATTATAAATACATAAAAGTATTAGTACAAATACATATATTTTTCTATTGAGATAAATGAGATAAATGTTGAGAAAAACCTTCATTTTTATTTTCCATTTTTATGTTAAATTACGTATACTCAAACGTTATATATGTATAAGAAATGTATTAAATATGATTGATTATGAATGCTTTAAGTTTTCTGACATATTATCTGTCTCATTTCCTTTTTCTCTAATTTATATTATATTATATATATATTATTGTAATTCAATATAAATTTATATAAATTATTTTGCAGAAAGTGAAATGATATTTAATAATGTATAACCAATATTTACAAGCTATTAATTTTAAATATATTTAGGCATATCCCAGACAGTATAAAATATTCGGAGAATGTTCTCATAAAATGATTTCCATATGTTCAGAGAATATTCGGAAAATATATTCCTATATGTTTCTGAGAATGTTCGACATGTTATTAGAATATTATTTATGAAATCCTCAGAATGTTTTACACAGCAGCACAGAATATTCGACGAATATTCTCACAAAATAATTCCATATATTCTAAAAATATTCGAAAACATATTCTTATATGTTTCTCAGGTTATTTTAAACATTATTACAATATTATTTGTGAAGTCCTCAGAATATTATTTGTGAAGTCCTCAGAATATTGTAGTAATATGTCAATGGAGGAGATATGAACATTATCCAAGTAGCAAAGTAACATCAAATAACGTATTAATGATGTGTTAATAATATCTCTAACGTTAATAAAACGTCATTAAAACGTGTTTAAACATCATCTTACTACCTGGATCATCAGAGTTTCAAATTCATCTCGAAATGAGAAATAGCACGAGTAATAAAGACACGTTGCTTTTATATGTCTAATTTCATCAACGTCGATTAGGCTTTGATTTAGATTTCAGTCTTTGTTTCGAAGAATTTAACTTGGATTATCACTTGGTCGACGTTGGTCAAGTCTTGCCGAACAACCATTGTCCGAACGCACCCGGTACGCGATCACAACCAAAACAAATGCACTGTGTTTACATCGGTCCGTGTCGTGCATCGTTATGAGGAAATATAAACGTTTATTTATTAAGTGGATTTATTTAGGAAGTTTATTTAGGAAATGTAAACGTTTATTCTTATTAGTATTTTATTAGTTATTTTTATTAGTTGCAAAGCAGGTAAGTACAATTTATATGTACATATGATGAATTCGTAAAGTAATTATTTAGAAGACGCATACCACTTCCGATTTCGTTGAAACTCATCTATCTTATATATTTTGACGTGTAGAAACCGAATCCAAAAGTTGAAATCGTCGCTTGGCTCTACAAAGCGAGAAATTAATTGTTAAAGTCGATGGCAATTTAGGTTAGGAAATCTGTCACGGAGGTGAGGACCGTCTTCTCTATAATTACCAATGCATCTCTTAGCTTTTCTCATGACAGATAATAAAAAATAAATCTTCGCCTTACTAAAAAGATGAGTCTACAATGTACTAAAAATGGATACAGAAAATATTAGCAAGATCCCTGCGTAAGAGAGGATATACCATGAATCTAAAGCAGGAGAATGATAGCATATGCTATTTTATTGTGTAACGAGAAGAATAAGATTCTATATAATAAAACAAAGTCCTACATAATAAAATAACACATGCTGTCATTCTTCTGCTTCAGATTCATCATACATCCTCCCTTGCGCAGGGGTCTTGCTAATCTTTTTTGTATAAGATTATCAAAACATATCAATATATTTCAATACTAAAGCGAGCGAAGACCGGTGGTGGCGTCGGAGTCGATGGAAGATGGAGGGAGACTCAAAAGGAGTTAGTCGACAGCCAGAGGGGAGACTGGGGCTTGAGAGAAGAAGAGCAGGGGAGTCATTGTCGAGACACCGTCGAAGTATAGTCGATTGCCTGTTGAATCGTTTCGAGAATTACTGTCGAGCTTGAGAGTTTTGTATAACGTGCGACGAGTTTTTCATTGTAGTCGATCTTTGTCTTAAATATAGTCATTTATTTCTTATACGAATTCGATTACATTCAATTTCTTCCCTGTCGACGAGTATATACCATAAGTGATATACAGGGTGCACGATTTATCTGAAGACATTGAAATATCTCGAGAACTATGCATTGGATAAAAAAAAGTGGTTAATGAAAGTTGTTAGTCTCGAAGGGGGACATCCAATGATACCAAACTCGACCTCCCACCCCACCCCCTGGGGGTGGGGGTTGGGGGCAACTTTGAAATCTTAAATGGAAACCCCCATTTTTTATTGCAGATATGGATTCTACGCCACAAAATACGTAAATTTTGTCCGAAACTTTTATTTTGATTCGTGATAGATGGCGCTGTAATCGCAAAAAATTATATTTTCCGCAATTCTCCAGAAATGATCATTGGATTGAGAAATAAAAAATATCTGTTCAATATTTTTAAAGAACATAATAAAAGTTATTCCCCCCCCCCATCCTCTCGGGATAGGGTGGGTGGTAACGTTCAAATCTCAAATGGGAACCCGAATCGAAGAGGGAACTGCTCGACGCGCCACTGTGGGTGTATGGCGAACTACGGCTTATTATAAAAGGCAGTGCAATGCGTCGAGCAGTTCCCTCTTCGATTCGGGTTCCCATTTGAGATTTGAACGTTACCACCCACCCTACCTCGAGAGGATGGGGGGGGAATAACTTTTATTATGTTCTTTAAAAATATTGAACAGGTATTTTTTATTTCTCAATCCAATTATCATTTCTGGAGAATTGCGGAAAATATAATTTTTTGCGATTACAGCGCCATCTATCACGAATAAAAAAAAAAGTTTCGGACAAAATTTACGTATTTTGTGGCGTAGAATCCGTATCTGCAATAAAAAATGGGGGTTTCCATTTAAGATTTCAAAGTTGCCCCCAACCCCCACCCCCAGGGGGTGGGGTGGGAGGTCGAGTTTGGTATCATTGGATGTCTCCCTTCGAGACTAACAACTTTCATTAACCACTTTTTTTTATCCAATGCATAGTTCTCGAGATATTTCAATGTCTTCAGATAAATCGTGCACCCTGTATATAGATACAATGTTTAGCAGCTGAAACCACCCTTACATTTGTATCCATTTTTAGTATATTGTACATTCATCTTTTTAGTAAGGCGAAGATTTATTTTTTATTATCTGTTATTAGAGAAGCTAAAAGATGCATTGATAATTATAGAAAAGACGGTCTTCACCTCCGTAACAGATTTTCTAATTTAAATTGCCATCAACTTTAACAATTAATTTCTCTCTTTGTAGAGCCGAGCGACAATTGTAACTTTTCGGCTTCTACATGTTAAAATATATAACGTAGGTGAGTTTCAGCGAAATCGGAGGCGGTGTGCGTCTTCTAAATAATTACCAAGATTTCAATATCTGAAAAATCTGGAATTGTCAAAGAATTTCAAAATTAATTTTCTTTGGCAATCCTGAATATTATATAATTTCAATCATATGATACTACTAATAATATTATCCTTTGGTATTGTTTATAAGATATTCGTTAAAAGAAAAAAAAATTGCAAACTTTAATATTTGTTATTTAATGTAATCATGCCGAAGAGATCTCGAGCTGGTTTTTATAAAAAAATTAACACAGAACTTAATAAAAATTTATCTTTACTTTCTCAAGATTTTATAAATGAAGAGAGAAATGATGCAATAAGTGAAGATATTATTAAAACTATGGCATTATCACAATCCGATAATACTATTGAAGATAACTTTGATAAAGACTTACCAGAAGATGATTCATATTTTGCAAATGATGTAAGCGATTTATGTAATGATTTATATAATGAGCAAATAATAAAAAAAAGAAATACTGATGATTTTACTACAGAATCATTTTTTACAAATGATTTAAAAGATTGGGCTTTAAAACACAAAATTTGTCACTCAGCTATTAATGATCTTTTACAATTATTAAAAACAAAAGATATTGATTCAAATAACTTACCTTTAAATGCTAAGACTCTTTTATCCACTTTTAAAACTATAGAAATTGAAGAAATGGAACGAGGAACATATTGCCATTTTGGTCTTCTTGAAGCAATAAAACAATTTTATAAAGAAGATGGTTCAAATATGATCGAAATATTAATAAATATTGATGGTTTACCGTTGAGTAAAAGTTCGAGTAGCCAGATATACCCAATATTATGTTGTTTACATTTAAATCCTACAAAAGTAGCAACTGTAGGAATATATCATGGTTATGAGAAACCAGCAAATGCAAATAAATTCTTATTACAGTTTGTCTATGAAGCAATAGATTTAACAGTAAACGATATCAATATTAATGGAAATATAAAACAATTTAAAATTAAAGGATTTATATGTGATGCCCCTGCAAAATCTTTTATTGTTATATAAAAGGATATGCAGGTTTTTATTCTTGTACAAAATGTTTTCAAAGAGGAACATACCTGAAGGGTCGAACATGTTTTCCCAAAATTAATTGTAAAAAAAGGACAGGTCAGAATTTCAAAAACAAAAGCCAAATTCAACATCATTCTGGAACTTCTGTTATAGAAAGCATTCCAGGAATGGACATGATTGTTCATGTGCCATTGGAATATATGCATCTTATTTGTTTAGGTGTTATGAAAAAATTATTGATGATGTGGACTTTTGGAAAGCCACATATGAAATTAAAAATTGAAAAAATTATTGAAATTTATAGACAGTTGAGATCAATAGCTAAATGCACACCAAATGAATTTGTTCGTAAACCACGTTCTTTAGATGAAATCAAGAGATGGAAGGCCACTGAATTCAGATTTTTTTACTATATGCAGGAGCAATTGTTTTAAAAGGAAATATTGAAAAGGATAAATATATAAATTTCCTTTGTCTGCATATTGCAGTGACAATTTTTTCAAATGATTTATATATTCAAGAGTATGGTGACTACGCGCATTCATTACTTAAAAGTTTTGTTAAAAATTTTGGTGAATTATATGGAAAAGAAAATATATCTCATAATATACATGACCTAATTCATATATGTGATGACGTACAGATATTTGGAAATATAAATAAATATAGCACATTTCCATTCGAAAATTATCTTCAAAATTTAAAGAAATTACTTCGAAAACACGAGACCTAACCATTACAGCAAATTGTAAAACGGATAAAAGAGCTTGAGTCTGTTAGAGATTCAAAAGAAGTCAATAAAATAAGTGTTTTATATGATGACAATACTTTGAGGGTGTAGTTCCTAATCAAAGTTATAATCAATTCAAGAAACTTATTCTTGAAAAGTTTACTTTCAATATTGAAAATTGTCGATTCATTTTGTTATTTAACAAGTAGGCATATCATGAAAATAGAAAATATTTTAGTAAGAAAAGATACTTACGTGTATGGGAGAATATTTCTTGAAACAAATTATCTTTTCGACTATCCTTGCGATTCGAGTATTTTTAACATTTGTACTGCGAAGAATTTGAGTGGATATTGTATACAAAATGTAAGAGATATAAAGAACAAAATGATAGCTATTATTCATGACAAAGACTTCATATTCTATCCACTTCTTTATTAGAGAATTTGAATTATAAATTTTATATTTCTATAATTTATCATATCGTTATAAAAGTAAGTAAAAAACAATCATCCAAGTTGCACACGCCAAATCACAATAAGATTTGATTTGGTTCCATAGCACAATAACCAATACCCTCCCCTCCCATTACCCCTTGTATAGTCACGTGCGTCTATGCATGAGTGTGTGCAACTCGGGTATAAATAACTACAACATTGCTGTTACTTAGTTGATTTTAATGTGTTTTTTTAGATATGAAAAACAGCTGGAGGGTTGTTCATTTCATTAAAGAAAATACAGTAGAAGCCGTGCCAACGTCCTGGGTCAAGAATATAAATGAATGTTTTTGGCCACCACACAGTGGATTAAAATTAAAAAATTTGATTAAAAATTGCACTCCACCTGGTCATAATTGGGATCTTCACCAATCAAGGATGATGGGTGAATTATATGGTAGGTATTATTTGAAAAATCGATTCTTTCTTCACGACTATAACAGTAGTCATCTAAAATTTTCGGAAAATCTTTACTTACGAAAATTTTAGGAGATCTGGGTGTAGCAAGAAGTAAAGCTATTCAAGCTGAAGATATTTCTGATTTACAATCAGACCTTGAAACACGTGCAAAGAAAATAAAAAGAAAAAAGGCTCATATCTGACTTAGAATTTGATTCAAATCAGATTACTTCCAACATTTCTCGTAACGAAATAAACGATACAAATTAAGAAAGTGAAGAAAGTGACGAAATAAGCGATAAAGAAAATGAAATAGTTAACATACCTATTTTAAAAAAAGCTGTCAAAGGTATATATATGTGTGTGTGTGTGTGTGTCATATTTAAGAAATATTCTATAAGTTCATTCATGAATTAATAAAACTTTTTCTTCCTAAGAAAATTCTGTAGCATCTGTTTCATAAAACATTGCCAGTATCCAAACAGACTCAGGTTAGTAGCAATAAATACTCAGGTTTTTTTTTTATAACTCCTAAGTATTCTTTTTTCAGTGCCGTGTACATTAAAGGAAGTAATTCCAAAGACCATTACGGCTCAAGACGCGTCTAAAGGTATTACGCTATTCATTGAATATTTTTCTTTTTGAATGTTTTTTTACAAAAATATATTATATTAATTCTTAATTTGAATTTTTAATTTATGTATTCTCATTAAAATCCTCAAGATAACAGTATCCAAGTAATGTGAATTTTATATCCTTTCAACTTTGTAGTCAAAATAACGTCAAATTGATATTATTTTGACTTTTCTGTTCTCTTTCGGACTATATCATTCTCAATTTTTATTTAATAGAAGTAAAAGTTATAAATCTTATGTGTTTTAATTTATTACATTTATTTTTTATTCTCTCTCGGCTTGCCTCGCGCATTCACGAGTCGCTTAGCCGGGTCCGAAACTATACGCGAACGTGACGAGGTTGCCGAGCGTGTCTGATTGCTCGCAAAATCTCGTATGAGACCAGCGGGGTTACCGTTTGTTCTTATCTTAGAGCTAGCACCACTAGGGACCTGGATCTCCGCGCTGTAAATGAAGCCTACAAAAAACAAGTACTCAGGATGTTGTCGATTCTGAATTACAAGATAGAGCAAATAGCGGAAGATGTAAATAGTTTTAAGACAAATAACATTATGGAGAAAGAAGTTCCTGCAATGGAATCATTATTTGAAAAATTCAATTTTCCCTTACGTTCTATGGAAGATTACGTTCTTGAAAATTTTGAAGAGTATTTAGAAAATGAAGAAAAGAAAAAGGAAGTTGTAAGTTATTGGAATAAATTTTAATAGAGCGACATAAAAGTAATTCTATTACAAATAAAGTTATACAGTGTCTCAGAACTTCCGAATACAGATCAATGCACAGGACGATTCTTAAGACTAGAAGAAATATCTTCTTTCTTTATCAAAACGTTCGATTAAACAATAGTTTTTTTCGAGTTGTTTAAAGTTAAATCCTTGCACGTGTCTAAAGTTTTAATCTAAGAAAGAAAATACGTCATTTTGACGTAAAAAACTGGTAATTATTGATCGAATGATGCCAAAAAACATAATGTCTAATATAAAACGTCTTTTTTATGACGTTTTTATACAAGGTTTTAATGACGTTAAGAAAAGTCATTTAAACGTCTTGAAATGTTGTCATTGGCCTGTGACTTATTATTGCCATTTTGTCATTTTCACATTATTTTTGGTAATTTGTTCGTCATTTTGGTCGTTTTTTGTCAAAACTTATCAAATTTTCACGTCAAAATGACGTGTACTTACTACCTGAAATTAATATACTAGATTGTGCATGAATCAGCAGCGTTAGGATCGGTTTACATCCTAACTTTAATCTTTAATACATACGTAATTGACCAACCACAGTTGATTATTCTTGAGGCGCTCGAGAAATAATCGATTGTGGTTGGTCAGTTGCTTATAGCTTAAAGCCTAAAGCAAAGTTGTGAACCGACTCTTACGCGGAGTGCACGAAATCACGAAATAACAAATGTATTCTGTATCATGTAGGCTGTTTTTGTCATACTACGGGCATATACCACGCACTATTCCTGATTTGCATGCAATCTCACATTCCGATGCGACAATTTTAAATAGCCCTCATGTAACAACTATTGTTTAAATTTAATTTTAATAAACGAAAAACTGCTTCTGTTGGTGTCAAAAACCGTCCTATGTATAACGTATATAGAAGTTTTATCTTACATAACACAAGTTCTATTATAGTTCATTATAAATTAGCCATCTTATTGTTTCTTATTAAATTTTTTAAAGTAACAGAACTTTCAAGGCTTGGAGAAGCAAATCCCAAAATTATGATTAGAAGGATAATGGAGAAAATTTTCTCTAATGAGTTGGTTGTGCAATATTCGTGGTTAGGATTAAAAAAGAAAGAAATTTTTTATAATTTGATTATTTTTCAAATAATAATAAGTAAGGACATACAATAAGTTTTATAATACATTATATTTATAACACAATTTAATTCAATTATATTATTTTGTTATTGCATTTCAATAATTTTTGGAATTTTTTCAGAATCTGCAATGACGCTTCATAAAATAAGTACAGCATGTGAAGTGGAAAATGCCATCAAACTGTAGCTAGTGAAAGCAAAAGAAATAATGCAAAAACAGAAAAAAGACTAAAATATTAACGTATTTTGTTTATAAACTTTTTTATAATTTCTTTAGTAGTTTTTTATAGTTTTATAATAGTTTATATTTAGACACTTTATAATAATTAATATTTAAACGTAGTTTATGTTTTTACGCTGAGAAAAGTGTCTAAAAAATAAAAAATATCTCTTTGGTGAATATTAACTACATATTCACTTTGTTAATATAACATATTTTTTAAATAAGAAAATTAGCGTTTTTTAACCTTACTTTTTTATATGAAAATAACTGTTTATTTTTTTTTTAATAAAAGAATTTAGATTTAAGTAAACAATACATAGCACGTAATATTACGTGCTATGTGGGATGTAATTTATTACATTCGTCAAATAAATATTTTTTACTTTTTGAATTTTTTTTTCTGTCAGTGTACACTAAAAGAAATATTTGAAATTATATTTGTAAGGTATAAATTTTATTTACAGAAATAAATTTTATATCGCAAACAAATTTTAAAATATCTTTTTAACGGAACACATTGTACAAATATATTAATGTTTTTATATTATTATATTAATGTTTTTTGAACTTTTGTGCTATTTAATTTCTCCTTTTTCCTTCATTACTTATTCCGTCTTATTAGAATTACCAAATAACTAGTCTGCGGATAAAATCTCATAGCAGATCCTACTATATACGCATTAAGCTCATGTCCTATGAATAACGTTAGTTAAAATAACTTTATGGTAGATTGACGACCAGAATGGCAATTCCTGTTGCCAATTTGCCATAAAGTTATTTAAACTGAATTTATCGACAGAATACGAGCCTAATGCAAGCAGTAGGAAAAGAATCTGCTGTGGGATTTTGTTATCCGCAGATTTGACTATTTGGGTATAGAATATGCCAAAAATATTCTAGTAAAACACGCAGAATATTCTTCGAACGTTTTTTTTAATATCCAGAGAACGTTTCTATAATATTTTACAGAATATTATACGAATATTATGTTAAGTGACTGGAATATTCATAGAATATTCTGCAGAATATTCATAAGATGTTCACAAAATTGGATTTTTTGTCTACTTTAACTTTGTCTACTTTAAATGTCCTCTTGGAAGTGCACGGGAATTCCGAAGTATCATGTGAGAATATTCTAGGAACTTTCAAATATTCCCCGATGTTATTCTCTGAATGTTTATAAAACGTACTTGTGCTGTTTGGGATTATCCCATACACATTATATACTATAAGTAAATTTAATTACAAGATATTTTTGAAAAACTATCATACAAGAAATATGTACAAGTAACAAATTCGTTCTGCAACTATTTATTTATACGCAAATGTATTAAAAGATTAAGAAAGTTTAAGAAAATATTTCCTTATTCATTAAATTCTTTAATGAATATAATGTATATAAGAAATTAATGTGAATGTGTGTGTGGACACACACACACACACACACAACACATATACAGTATAATATATATATAAATAAAAAATATATATATAAGGAAAAATATATATATATATATATATACAGGGTGTCCCATTTTAATCCGGCCGGCTGAATAAAATTCGAGGATATTTTCCAGAAAAAAATGTCAGACAAATGTTGCTCAGTTCTAAGGGGGACATTCGATGCCATCAACAATTTTGACCTCGGGTGAAGGGTTCAAGGTCATTCAAGGTCAACTTTTTTTTCTTAAATGGGAACTCCTATTTTTCACATCGGCAATCGATTCTACGTAAAAAAAAATGAAACTTTTGTCTGAAGCATTTTTTTTATAACGCAAACTAATTTCACTTACTCAGCTTCCAAAATTGAAATTTTCAAACTTTCTGAATTTTTTACTCGAGAATGGTGAGGTTTGGCGGGAAATTGCAGAAGACAAAAAGTTCTTGGAATGCTGCAAGGAATTCACTCGAACTTTCGCATAGTTGATCGTGCACTTTTTTCCGCCAATGTTTGGAAAAAATCTTTTATCTCATCATGTCCAGTATCCTCGGCATTAGCATCACCCGATGTGCACCACGTGGAAGTCGCCGATGGGATTTTGCACATCATTGGCCCTGAAAAGGGCCGATTGATTGATTATTGAACTCGATCTATGATATCAAGTGCTCAATCTGGTGCCCATTCTGTGCAATGCACATTTGCACCCTCTGGCGAAAGATTGAGCACTTGATATCATAGATCGAGTTCAATAATCAATCAATCGGCCCTTTTCAGGGCCAATGATGTGCAAAATCCCATCGGCGACTTCCACGTGGTGCACATCGGGTGATGCTAATGCCGAGAGTACTGGACATGATGAGATAAAAGATTTTTTCCAAACATTGGCGGAAAAAAGTGCACGATCAACTATGCGAAAGTTCGAGTGAATTCCTTGCAGCATTCCAAGAACTTTTTGTCTTCTGCAATTTCCCGCCAAACCTCACCATTCTCGAGTAAAAAATTCAGAAAGTTTGAAAATTTCAATTTTGGAGGCTGAGTAAGTGAAATTAGTTTGCGTTATAAAAAAAAATGCTTCAGACAAAAGTTTCATTTTTTTTTACGTAGAATCGATTGCTGATGTGAAAAATAGGGGTTCCCGTTTAAGAAAAAAAAGTTGACCTTGAATGACCTTAAACCCTTCACCCGAGGTCAAAATTGTTGATGGCATCGTATGTCCCCCTTAGAACTGAGCAACATTTGTCTGACATTTTTTTCTGGAAAATATCCTCGAATTTTATTCAGCCGGCCGGATTAAAATGGGACACCCTGTATATATATACTAGGTGCGCAACTAAATTTCCGGGTTTCACACATGGATGGCGCTAACGACACATGTAGTCGATATACATGTCTGAAGTTGTGCTTTTTATAGCTTGGACATCTGTTAACAATAACCAATCGTAATACCAACACATCGCAACGCAAAAATATTTTTTCTAACAACGAAGATGTCGAGTTTTATGCCAAATAAACAGCATTTGCGGGAGGCTTTGCTTTCTGCTTTAACTTGAAAAAAAGTTCATCTGAAGTACGTCGTTTGCTTGAGGAGGCCTATGGCGAACATGCACCATCGAAAACTACCTGTGAAGATTGGTTTAAACGCTTCAGAAGTGGCGATTTCGACACTGAGGATAAGGAGCGCTCCGGAAGACCAAAAACAAGCCGGAGGACGCCGATCTGCAAGCGTTATTAGATGAAGATGATACGCAAACATAAGATCAACTTGCGGAGGCATTAAACATGACTTGCCAAGGTATTTCCAAACGTTTACATGCCATGGGAAAAATTCAAAAGGAAGGAAAATGGGTGCCGTATGAGTTAATTGAGAGACAGATGGAAAATCGAAGAGCCACTTCCGAAATTTTGTTTTTGCGGCATAAAAGAAAGAGTTTCCTGCATCGAATTTATTGGTGATGAGAAGTAGATATATTTCGAGAATCCCAAACGCAAAAAATCGTGACTTTCACCTGGCGAAGCATCAACATCGACGGCCAGATCGCTTCGGAAAGAAGACAATGCTCTATTCGGTGGGATCAGAAAGGAATCATGTACTATGAGCTGCTGAAACCGGGCGAAACTGTCAATGGGCATCGCTACCGACAACAACTGATCAATTTGAACCATGCATTGCTCAA